GGGCTTTGTGTGGGTCTTGGGCGGCGTGTTTGGTCCCGACTCAGGCTCGGCTAGCTCAAGGCAGGGAGGATCGGGAGGCGGAGACCACCCTCTCGCTCCACCTCCTTGACAGGGGCTTCCCTCCTCTCCTCTCCTCCCCTTTCTCTCCGGCGCAAGGCGGCCCGCTCTCCTCCCTCCCCGGCGCTCTTCTCCTTCTCCACTCCAGGACTCCTCGCTCTGCCTGGTGTCACATTACGGCTTCTGCCGGGGCGGGTAGGGAGGAAGGAGGGGGCCCAGATCAGCAACAAGGAAGAAAGTTTCTGGGTGTGTGTGATTTTTTTTTTCTTCCTCCATTCTCTACAATCTGGTCTCGTTCCTGCGCCACCAGCGACCTCTTGGGGCCCGCTGACTATCCTCTCCTAAACAGTTGTATGCTGGAGGATTTGAATATATTTGATTACATTTGTCTTCTCACTTTGGAAACTTTGGTTCTCTTTCGACTTCCCAAGCGACCCATCTACCAAAAGCTGATAAAGGGTATTGGGATATAAGTTCAAGACCTAGCTGGAATGGTAAAAGGCAAGCGGTAGGAGTTATGATTAAACGTGCCCGGCAGGGCTAGGCGCAGCGCCTGCACGCCCTGGCTGAGAATAGGAGGATGCTTTTTTTTTTTTTTTTTTTCCCTCCCTGGTCCTACCTAGCACTTCACTGAGAACAAGGGTACACGGCCAACTCGAGGAAGTCCTTCTAGTACATATGAAAGGGGGCGCTCTGTCCCCTCAGGTACCTGTTTCACTCCTGTCTCTCCTCCCACCCACCGCTGGGAAGTTTCCAGAACAGAAGAGCCAGCGGAGTTCTCTGACGCCGACCGTCTGATGGAGCTTCTGATAGTTGACAGAGCTGCTCTGTCAGGCACACCTCGTAATTGTTTTTGTTTTGTTTTCATCGCCAGATACAGAAGTGATATGGCCTGAGAGCTATATTATGTTCCCAGTGTCCTAGTTTGCTTTTCTATTGCAGTGATAAATACCATGACCCAAAATAAGGTGGAGAGTAAAGGATTTGTTTGGTTTACCAATTACAGTCCATTCTGGAGGGAAACCGAGGCAGGAGAAACCTAGATGCAGGAACTGAAGCAGAAACAAAGAAGAACAGTCAACTACCTCTCCTAGGGCCACCTGCTTAGGGATGGTTCAGCCTGCAGTAGGCTGGCCCTCCTAGCCATCAAGACAATGTTCCCCAGACATCTCCACAGGCCAATCTTTTGGTGGTAATTCCTCAATGATGGTTTCCTTTTCCAAGCTGTGTCAAGTTGTCAACAAAACTGACTTACAGTGGCATAAAACTGGTGGGACTCTGAACAAGCCAGATATATGAACCACTGCAAGGTGGCACAGGGCACCTTGGTTTGCTTGCGATTAAAAAAAAAAATGGCCATTTTCTTTGGACCATGTTTCTGATGCCTCTCATCCCCAACTCCTGCTAAATATTCCAGTAATCTGGGGGTGGAGTGGGGTGAGAATCTCATAACTCCGGAACTGTCCTCCTGAAAACCTTTAAAAAGTTGTGCATCCAGAGAATGTTCCATGGAAAACTGAGGAATGGGATCCTGAACTCACAATGAAAGAACAATATATATGCTGGTTAGTTTTAAATGTCAGCACACCACAACCTACAATTACCTGATAGAGGCTCAGTTAAAGGAATTGCCTAGACTGGATTAGCCTATGGGTATATCTGTGGGGGATTGTCTGTTATTATTTAATGTGGGAGGGTCCAGCACACCATTCCCTGGGCAGATGGTTCTGAACTGTACAAAAGAGCTAGCTGAGCATGACCATCTGAGCCAGGCTGCAAACAGCGTTCTCCATGGTTCCCGCTGCACTTATTTGGCAGTGAAGTGAGGTCATTCATTGGTTAGGGGTAACACTGTATGGAATAGCAAATAGGCCTGCCATCGAGTGCCTTCAATGAGGAAATGTGATTTGGAATTGTAAGCCAAATACATCCTTTCTCCCTAAAGTTGCTTGTGGTTGAGTTACTTGTCACAGCCACAGGAATAAAAACTGAACAAATATGGATTACCCATGACCTGAATACGAACTTCACAATCCAGAACATAGGTGAAGACAGCACAAACCACAAGCTAGAGCAATGGTTCTCAACCTGTGGCTTGAGACCCCTTTGGGGTCTTTGACCTTTTCACAAGGGCTGCCTAAGATCACCAGAAAACAAAAGATACTGAACCAGGCCCCCTGAACATGGGTGACAGTTGAGGGTCTTGGGCAGTCTATGGGGCCTCTGGCAGTGGAACCAGTATTTATCCCTTGTTCACTAATGGGCTTTGGGAGCCCATTCCCTATGGAGGGATACTCTCTCAGCCTAGTCATATGGGGAAGGGCCTAGGTCCTGCCCCAAATGATGTGACAGACTTTGATGATTCCTCCATGGGAGGCCTCGCCCTCCCTGAGGAGTGAATGGGGGTGGCATGGGGGGTTGGTGGGAATGGGAGGACTGAAGGAGAGGGAATTAGGATTGGTATGTAAAATAAGATTTTTTTAAATTTAAATAAAAATTAATTAAAAAAAGAAAATAATTTTATGGTTGGGGGTCACCACAGCATGAAGAAGTGTATTAAAGGGTCACAGCATTAGGAAGGTCGGAACCACTGAGCTAGAGAGCGGAGAGGTGGGCAGAACCACACATACACACACACACACACACACACACACACACACACACACAGCTATACTCTCAGAGTCACTGCCACATGTGCTCAGATCGTCCCTACCTTACATTGTCCTGGACACTTTCTGAGGTTTAAGAGCACTGTTTGGGACACCAAGTAGATAAGAGGCCCTTTGTTTGTCCTGGGGACTCCCAACTAGTGTGTTCATGGTTGACTTCACATTTATTCCGTGAATGGGGGGTTTATGTGGATTAATGTCACACTTTAGAAACATGACTGCCCCTTGGAGAATTCAGTCCATCATCCATTGCTCATTAGTGTGAATTACTTTAACCAGTACAATGAGTAGCCCAGAATAGACTCCCAATTAATAATTTTTGAGTTGATAGAGATGGGCCAGGAGACAGGAGCTGCCAAGCAATCTTCATAACGTTGTAGAGGCCTCCTCTGACAAAGTGATCCTGGGACAGAGCCTGGTCCTGTGATCTGAACCTTCACTGTGTGTAAGATGTGTAAGACCCTCTGTGTTTGTGATCCCGCACCTGGTTTCTGGAACTAGCTTTTGGCATTCTGTGGGAAAAAGGCCCACCTACTGGCTGTAAGGAATCTGCTGAGCAGGAAGGAGGCAAACACACATCTGAGACAATAAGTAAATGTAGAAATTTAAAAAAGAAAACAGAACAAAAACACAGTAAGGGGGCCAGCAAGTAGCTTAGTGGTAGATCCCTTGTCTAGCATGCACACAATGTCGGGAGTTCAATTTCTAATGTGGAAGGGATAAAGCCTGGCATAGAAAACAATTGTGGAACATGAGTGTCAGTGATGAGGCCTCGGCAATCTCGAGGGCCTAGGGTAGTAGACCAGTATTTATCCCTGGCACACAAATGGACTTTGGGAGCCCACTCCACATGGAAGAATGCTCTCTCAGTCTGGACACATTGGGGAGGGTCTAGGCCCTGCCTGGGATGATATGACAGACTTTGGAGATCCTTGACACATGAAGCAAGCTTGTTACTAATTTAAAAATAATAACAACAATAAAGAAAACAATCGTGGAGATCTAGGGAGACGGCACAATCAGCAAAGTGCCTGCCTTGCAAGCATGAGGGCCTAAATTCAATCTCCAGAACCTACATACTAAAAGATGGACAAGGTAGCACATCTTTGCAATCCCATTGCTGGGGAGGTGGAGACAGGTGGACCTCAGGGGCTCACTGGGAGCCAGTCTAGTCTACTTGGTGAGTCCAGGTCAGGTGGAGACTCTGTCTCAAAGACAGAAACAAAACTGAGAGAGAGAGAGAGAGAGAGAGAGAGAGAGAGAGAGAGAGAGAGGAAGGGAGGAAGGAAGACACAAAGGTAAACATCACCTGAAGAACAATACAGAGGTTATCTCTGGCCTCCAAATGTATGTATATACACATAATCACATAGCTGTGCACACATATGAACCTACCCACATATAATCACACAGCTATGCATGCATATGAACCCACACACACAGAAAGCAATGGCAAGGCTATGAGGAGAAAACAATGACAAGAACAAAACAGGTCTAATTTTTTTAAGTACCAATAGTCTAGCTATCTTTAAAAACGTATAGAAGAAGATGGGCAGACACTGGGCAGTGGTGGCACACACCTTTAATCCCTGCACTCGGGAGGCAGAGGCAGGTATATCTCTGTGAGTTCGAGGCCAGCCTGGTCTACAGAGTGAGTTCTAGGACAGGAAGAAGAAGGAGGAGGAGGAGGAGGAGGAGGAGGAGGAGGAGGAGTTGTAAAAATCCAAGTGTTTGAATAAAACTTTTTTCTTCAAAGTCCCATAAGTGTCACTTTTCTAAAACATTCAAATGTCTATCTTAATAAACGGTATCTTTATCTTAATAAGATAGTACATTTTCATGAAGTATCCACTCTTTTTTCTTTCTCTCCATTTTTTATTTAAGTTAGAAACAAGATTATTGTACATGTAAATCCCAGTTCTTTCTGCCTCCCCTCTTCCCCTGCCCCCTCCCAATTAACACCCTACCTATCCCATACCCTTTCTGCTCCCTAGGGAGGGTGAGGCCTTCCATAGGGGGTCTTCAGAGTCTGTCATATCCTTTGGTACAGGGCCTAGGCCCACCCTCTTGTGGCTAGGCTCAGGGAGTATCCCTCTATGTGGAATGGGCTCCCAAAGTCTATTCCTATGCTAGGGATAAGTACTGATCTACTTCAAAAGGCCCCATAGATTTCTGAGGTCTCCTCACTGACACCCATGATCATAGGGTCTGGATCAGTTCCATGCTGGTTTCCCAGTGATCAGTCTGGAGACCAAGAGTTTTCCCTAGTTCAGGTCAGCTGTTTCTGTAGGTTTCACCAGCCTGGTCTTGACCCCTTTGCTCATCACTCTCCTTCTCTGCAACTGGATTCCATTTCAGTTCAGTGTTTAGCTGTTGGTGTCTGCTTCTACTTCCAC